ACTGTGTGTATATATATATATATATATATATATATATATATATATATATAGGAGTTAACTGTACCATTAAACAATATTGTGTAAATTACAGTTTATATAAAAGCTACACTAGCGCCCCCTGCTGGTGACTGGCCTATATAACCTCTGTGTGCGTCACTGAGTTCAGACGAACAGCGGCCTTCTTACTTCCTCAAAAAAAAAACAAAAAAAAAAACTTCAGTCCCAAAGAAAAACAGAATCAATCCCTGGATGCATGGGTGACCACATCAAGGACAGTTATGGAGCATTAAACCAAGGGGCTACGACAAGCAAGCTAGACACAGCTATAGGAAACGGTAACTTAAGAAGCGACATTATGACAGTAAGTGATTTAATGTGTAGCGCTGGAGTTCTCGTGCTAGCCTGTTTGCTTATGTGAGGATTGAGCCATTGACAAATACGGAGCATGACTGTCATATACACTCGAGATATACACGCTAAAATAAAAACATAAACACGACATATTGAATATTCTTGGCCGAGATTTACATAACATGTATGCCGCGAAATGTTATTTACTGTTGGCAACTAGCATGCTAAGTTACAGTATTGTCTGTAAACATTGAGTTGTGATGTTTGTAGATCAACACTGCAGTTTCACCTGATGTTTTCGGTAAAACTGGGGTTTACATGTTGAGCCCCTCAGTGGTAGATACTGTAGGCACCGGAGGAAAGGTCTGTTGATGATTTAATCTTCTGCATGGCAGAAAGGTTCAACACGCTGGAAGTTTTTGCATCCTGTTTGTTTCTTATTGACTCTCCTGGTGAAACTGAAACTCCATGTGAATGAGAGTAAACAATTGAATAGATCTGCAGTCTTCAGACAACTCGTGAGTCATACACAGGTGTAATTTTATATGGGAAGCTCATAGACTAGACTCCTGGCATTTCCACTGCAAGTCATGAATGTCTGAAATCAAATTCTGTAGTGCTTGTATGCAAAATTTGTGCTCTGTGGTGTGTTTTTGATTTGAAATGTAAAGTTAGCAACCAATTCAAGAATTCACCTGCTATTATTTGCTTGATTTGTTGGTTCACGCAAATGTAGTTTTTATCCACATATCTAGATTTTTTATAAATACAGAAATCAAGATTTTTTTACCAAGTGTATCCTCAGCTGTTGACTATGATACCTAAGTTTGAATTACTTAACCAGGGGTTTTCAACCTTTTTCAGACAAAGGACCCCTAGGAGAGACATACTGTAGAAAAAAGTGTGTTGCCTGGCCAATAATAGTGTTTAGTATCATATTATTGTACCATTATGTTTATTGTGTAGGACACATTTAGCTCAGTGTTGTTATCATTAATTAAAACTAAAACTACTAAAACTAACTTGTTAATTGAAATAAAGCTGAATATAATATGAATATTATAATTAAAAACTGCATATGAAAGTCAGAAATGTTGCCTTGGAAACTAACTGAAATAAAAGTGCTAAAATGACGAAAATTAGAACTGAAGTAAAAATAAAGCTAAATAGAAATAAAAACAGAAAGTAATAAAAATGACAACAGCACATAACAAAATTACCAAAACTTAAAATGAAAACTAAAAATATAAAAACAAAAGCTAAGTCAAGATATTAATTTTACTTGATAAATAATACTAAAATAACACTGATTTTTAGCTGTACTTTAGATTCTTAACTTTTACTTTGTTTTGGGAACTTTTTTTTGAATTCAAAAATATTTTTTTATAACACTGGCAGACCATCGTGTTGTACCACTGTGGACACCCTTGTTAAAGACTCCTAGTTTACACCATGTCTTTTGATAAATTTCACTTGACTTTAGGATGTACACTTTGGCAACTACATTAAAATGCACAATTTGTACATATCTATGCAGCTGGGACATTTCATAACACATTTTTTAGTGTACATACATAGACATTTTAATGAACCCCTACATGAAATTATTAATGGACCATTCGTAAAAAGTTAATCTTAAAGTTTGTCATTAACCCTCTCTGAGGAAGTTGAGCACAAGTGCTGGGCTGGAGTAAACTAAACATTTATCTTGTGCCAGCCCACCTTGTTACTCTCCTTTGATGAACACATGGAAATCATTGCTTGTGTTTCCAGCACAACACATGAAAAGGATCAAACATCTGGGTTTGCTTTTTAATTGGAGTTTGATATTTTCCAGAGTATTTAGTTATGGCTCATAGAAAGCTGTCTCAGCAGAATCAGGTTCAGACCCCTGACATTAAAGCCACTTAAGACAGATTAAATGTTGTTGGCCACTGTGAAGGAGAAGCTATTGTGCTAATAGGTTGAATAGAGAACTAGAGCTTGAGGGCACACCTTTCTAAAGGAAAACCATGAGTGTTGAAACTTCCTTACTAGAACAATGCTTATTGCAACAGATATGAAACAAGAACTAGTTTAGTTATTAAAATCACTTTGTGGCTGATTGAAATTTGATCAGTATATTGGTTCAATTAAAAAGAATCAAAGTATGATATATTTCATTGTTGTTTTTAACAGTGTTGTTGAACCGTGTTCCTGATATTTTACACTGGTAATCCTGTAAAATATAATCCATTTTAAGCTCAAATGTAATCCCTGAAATGAAATGATGAGTTGTAGGAATGCCAGCTTGAGTTTGAATGCAGTTTTTTGGTTTGTAATTTTTGAATGGTAGTTATTATTCATTGAAAACTCGCCAAACCCAAGAATTCCGCTCATCTTTGGAACACAAATGAAGATATTTTGAATGTTCTCTCATCATTTTTGCCCTTTCATTGACAGTACACTCAACCAAAATTTCCAAGTAGGGGTGTGTGATGTTTATTGTCTGCAGTATTATCGTAATTGTTGTTTTAACAATATACGAGCTAACATTATCAAGTGTCCCTCACTTTGCAAAAAAAAAAAACATCTTGAAAGTCCCAAAGCATTTACTGTGTGATGAAGCCTATTAGAATGCCGTTAGAATGTCCCTATATAATTAAAGTTATGAAAGCCAAAAAATATCCCTGTATAGAATTTTTTTTATATTGCTATAGTTATGTAATATCAGACAAGCAACAGTACCGTTTTCCTAAATATTAACACGTGCGTTTGATCGCATATGAGATTTTTAATTTTGTACAACAGTTCAGCAAGTTGTGAATATTGAGTGAGTTACATTTTAGGCACAATATTGTCTGTTTTTTTTTTGTTTTTTTTCGAAAATTGTTCAAAATAGTTCCAAACAAAGCTAGAGCAGAACATTTGTGTGTCTCAGAGCAACACTGCAATGTTTCTTTCCTGAATGAATCTGTTTTTGAAGGAATCATTCGAGTCAAGGATTCAATGATCCATTCATCAGCACAACAGTCTTTTTTTTTTCCGCTTCTAAATCAATCAGCTGTTTTGAACAAATCATTTGAATGAATGATTCACTTGCTGCCACCTACTGGCGGTTTTAGTGTCATTTTTATTTATCCATGGAAGCCTAAACCTATGGAAGCCCGTTTCCGCCACTGAATAAAAAATTAAAAAAGGTTATTGCAACTTTTTATCTCGCAATTCTGACTTTTTATCTCGCAATTCTGACTTTATATCTTGCAATTCTGACTTTATAACATGCAATTGCGAGTTAAAGTCCAACTTTGAGGGGGGGGGGACTGATATGTTCTCAGAATTGTGAGTTTATATCTCATAATTCTGACTTAATTTCTCAGAATTGCGAGTTTAAATCTCACAATTATGACTTTTTAACTCGCAATTGCGAGTTTATATCATGCAATTCTGAGAAAAAAAGTCAGAATTGCGAGTTTGTATCATGCAATTATGAGGAAAAAAGTCAGAATTGTGAGATAAAAAGTCGCAATTACCTTTTTTCTTTTTTATTCAGTGGCGGAAACGGGCTTCCATATAAACCAGCCAAGGTACCTAGCACAAAATCACACTAATCGGGAAAAAAAAATAATCCTGATAAATATTGAGATATTGTTTTTTGTCATTATCACACAGCCATATTTCCAAGCTTCAAATAGTTTATATAGACACTGTAAAAGTAATCCATATCAATTGAGTGGTTTAATCCAAGTCGTCTGAAGAGGCATGATCGCTTTATAAGATGTAATTTAGTCTTTGATCAATGCACATACATAGAGCTCATCAAATATGCAGGGCTCTACAGTGCGACCATTTCAGTCGCATTTGCGACTGAAAACTACTGCGTGCGACTATAAACATTTTTTTAGGAGCACCAGTGCGACTGACCTGATTATCATCATACTTGTGATCGCTGAGGGGAGCTTCAAAGGTTTCTACGTGTTTTGCAGCGTTGAGTAATATACCACAGACGTATCTCACGAATCCTTTCATAAGCAAAGTGTAGACGGGGTGTAAATAAGACATTCATTGCGCAGTGTAGAGAGCTTCGTTGATTATAGATGTGAGATCGCGATGAACTAAGATGAGTGACAGCTTTTAATGATTTTTAAGGGAGTTTGTAAATGTGATACTGATTTAATACAACAGTTAAATAAACAAGAAGTTAATATTAAGTGACTTACATTGTCTGACTATAACACTATTGTCTGATTTTGCTCTATTTCGTCGTTGAAAATAGTTTAAAACAAAGCCACAGCT